ACAACAGCCAATGAGGAACCAGGGGGAAGGGGAGGAGGGTAGAAATCGTGGGGGAATGGAAAAAACCTGCACAGATTGATGGAGGGACAAGGAATTGTACAACAAAACTGGTTCCATTGTTGATAAGTAGAAGTGGTACAGACTCTCAGAAAGGATACATCTCAGCCAAAAATGCCAAGAGGCATTAAAATACATTTTAATAGTCAAAACATAGATGTTTTGGGTTGTTTTTTTTTTTATATATGGGCAATATTTAAGCTACACACCTAAGGACAAGAAATACCAGTGACTAACTATCTCCAAGACAACAGGAGGGCTAGAAAGACTTGGGGAGCAGGGCTTACAAACAACCTCGTGCAAGTTCTCAGCCATCTTTAAACATCTTTTACCCCCATGTGACATTGGTGTGCTTTGTCCTACTTTGAATCACAAGTTGGAGTAGGTGGAACAAAGACTCCTAACCATGATTTTCCAGGCTGGAAAAAAGAATGTTTTGCAAGTGAAAAGCTTAGTTATTTTGCTCCATAAAAAAAAGCAAGTGATCATTTTCACCTAGTACCTCAAATGGCAGTTTAGTCAGGCTGAGAAAGACACACTCTGAGTCAGAAGAGGCAGGGGGGCTGGAGGCCATGGGCATTCAGTCAGATTTCAGTGTCTGAAATTTAGTTTAGTACCTAAACCAGTACCCAGCTTAAAAAACTGGAGATGACAGAGATTATAAACCACTTTGGTGTTTTTTTTCCTGTCCCAGGACTCTGAGCAAGGCCAAGAAAGGTTGCTCACTTGTTGGGTGGGAGCACTGGGCAACATTACAGGAGGGGCCTTGGGGCCTGCAATGTCAGAGTTGTCCCTACCACTACATGTATTACTCCTCATTTAGTAACCTTGAATTTCACCCACCATTTTCATGACCCAGTCACTTCTGCACATTTCCACAGGCTGATGCAGTGTTGAGTGCCCTGCGTAATTTTGCATAATCAACAGACCTTGGCACCCTGATGGTTCTGAAGGTGTTGCATGGAAACAACCCTGGGGCAGACATCCCCAGACACTGGCCACTCACAGCTTCTGCCTCAGTTACCACCAGCCTTGCCCCTAGCTTTCAGCCTGGAAAGGGTGGTCTTCCCCATCCTGGGCCAGTTCACATTCTGTGAAAGGTTTCCCCAGTCTATTTTACTAAATCCAGTTGGTTTTCATTATGTAGAGGGGCTGATGTGAGCAGTGAATTACAGCAAGATTACCTGTTCATCCCATTTAATGCCAGAGACCATCTGAGTCTGACACCTGGTACTGGGGATGTGCTGCCCTTCCCATCACAGGCACATTCACAAGTCCTGACACTTTGGCTTGCAAGGATGGCTTCATCTCCTTGATGCTGAGTAAAATGACTTGTCTGGGAATGCCCCAATGCTCCTTTGATAGCAAAACATCAGGTTTACTTCTGTGATGGCCTTATCTTCCCCAATAACTCCCACACCATCTTGCAGCCTTCTTGTCTCTTAAGACAATTTGAACAAGGTATTCATGCTACCTTTTCTGTGTGTCACATGGTTTCCTAAAAATTTGCCCTTTTTTAGGCTCTTAGGTTTAATTTGCCAGTACTTATGAGCTTTTCCTTCCATTTTCATGTGACTAGAGCTTCAGCTTTCTGGCAGCTGCCTTGTCAAGTCTTGCACAGTAAATGATAACCCAGTACTACTGTTCCTTCTAGGAACGTTTGAGATTAACTCCCTCAAGATGATGACACTGCAGTAGTGAGAAAAATACACAGAGGTAAGTTAGCTGTCCTGTAGTAAGACATGACATTCAGCTCAAGTGATTTGCTCTTGCAGCGTGTGCATAGATAGAGCACACGTGCCCAGAGGTAGGCAGCTTGTGTCTGCTGAAATGTCTGCTTCCTCTGAGCACTGCTGGTGCCCACGGGGGTGTTTCCACACCTTGAAGCCATGAACCTGCATTTTGGGAATGGCATCTGTTACACAAAGGAGCTCAGAGCATTACCCTGTGAGATGTTTGTCTTACACAGCTGTCCAAGACATCTCTTGTGTCAGTCTTTCCTATCAGAGACTTGTATCTCTTCTTCCTTGCACATACCTTGCTGATTGCTTTGCTCAAAGACTCATTTACTTAATTAGACAGAGCATGTTTTCAATGTCCAAGACCTCTTTTTACTGTGCTTATGCAGTCACCATTTTGTTATGTTTTGGTGTGATTTTTTTTTTCAAGCAAGCTTCATTACTTTCCACACCTGCTCAAGATGATTTTCACTACATCACATTTCTTTAATGCTGAAGGTTCATGCTGACATCATGAGAAGAAAATCGTCTGAGTACAACTAGCCATTTCTTGGGGTAACAGTACACACATGGTAGCATGTGCAAATGCTGATGAAGTATAAAAATGGTTTCTCTGAACATTTAAACTTGCCATAAAAGGGGATTTTCCTGGAACGCCACTGCTAATTACTATTGCTATTGACAGTAATAATAATTACTATTAATATTTACCATAGCATCACTTGAATTGCCTGTCTTAAAAAAAAAGAGACCAAAAGGTGCAGCTTACCACCTCTAGAAATGGTTGACTGCCCATCAGAGGAGTCATCCCTTGGGTCAGCTGGAGAGTTGTGTGTCAGCACAGCCCTGCAAAGGAGGGAAACCCTGTCTCAGGTGCATCCCTTTCCCACAGGGTCCCAACACAGCCAGCCCTCGTGCCTGGCCAGTCAAGGAAGGCAAAAATCAAGCCCTTGGCCAGGAGCAGTGTCTCTCTATACCTTCCCCTTGCAGGGTGTTCATAAACCAGGATGGATTCTGGCTGATTGCAGCCCTGGCAGGGCAGCATGATTGCATTTTTAGCTCCTTTGCCAAACAGGAGCCTATTTCTGTCTGTCTGAGCACCTGCCTTCCCTGACCAAGCATTTCCATCCATTTTCCTTAGAAAAGCTTTAAGAGCAAACCCAGAGTGCCCCTCGTTAGGGGAAAACTCCACAGAGCAGCCACAGCACATCTCCCTTCTTTATCCCAAAGCTGCTCACAGTCCTGTATGTCAGGTTTTTCAAATGGACAAAAGAAAACAGGTATTTTTAGGACAGAGTTGCTGGTTTTGGCCAGGCTGGTCAGTGAGCTGGCTTTTCCATCTGCCCGGAGGGACCTTGCTGTGGTGCCATCTGCAGGCCCACTGTCTGGGTGCAGAAAAAGAGAAAGATTTCAGAGAGCTGCCGTTTTTCAGGAGGTTGCATGCCAAGCCCTCCGGGCAGTCCAAAGGCTGCAGGATTTGTTTACCACACTCCCTCTTTCCATACAAGAGCAACCGTGTTTTCAGTTCTGTGGTTCCTGGCTTGCTACACATTTTCCCAAGAACTTAAAGCAAAAATCGTTAAGCTTGGTTGAAACAGTATTTTAAACCACAATGAACCTTTATCTGAAATATTTCCAGCTGTTGTTGGTCCAAGCAAATCTGCTTTTCTTCCCCAGGTCGTATGAATTTGCTCATTCCCACAGCAATCTGATCTCAGGTTGGAGAGGGCTCTTGTGAAATAAGGATTCTTTGCTCCAGGTGAATTTTCAGGCAGCCTTACCTTACTCAGGAAACATAAGGCTTTTTAGAGGAAAAAGGTAACTCCTCAGAGTGTTCCTGCTTTAAATCCAGTTCAAAATACCTTTGTTTTACACAGGAAAACTGGCACCCCCCCCCTCCTCCAAGGCGTTTCAGTAGGCTCCCTGCACTTCCAGCTCACCCAGCCAGGCTTCTGCTGGCACACGCAGGCAGCAGCACACAGGACAGCCATTCAAAGCACCCAAGCAAAGGAGGACAGGATGGGAGCAACCCAGGACTCATTTGCAAGCCTGACAAGCCTGCAGGCTACACCTCTCCCAGCAGACACCCAACTCCATGGGAGGGCTGCCTCCACCCAGCCCCATTCGTGGGGCAGGTATTGCTGCTGTCCCAGGGCTAACACCAGCTCCTATCCAGTGGCAGGTTATTCAACCTTTTTCTCTCTGCAAAGGAACTTGGAGTCATTACCCTCTAGTTGAATAAACACTGAGTTTCTACGCGTTGCAGCTGCTGGAGATAAGCGGCTCCAGGGAACTATATCCAACATACCTTGATCCTGGGAGCTTAAATCCTCTAGCTTAAGTCCTTGCTCCAGATCAGGATCTAAAGCAGTTGGGGTTCAGACAGCAGCTCCAACTCTGCCTGCCAGGGAGAGAACGACACATCACCTCCAAAGACAGTGAACCGAGCTTGCTAAAAACAGGGGGGGCTGTGCAACCTTGTGCATCACTTACCTGCCTCTCAGAAGCCTCAGGCCCTGCCCAGCGTTTGTGCTTCCAGGAGGCAACATCCCCAGGCAGAGGGCTGACACTCACCTTGCAGAGATTTGCTGCTCAGCAGCTTAACTGCAACTGCCCCTCCTTCCGCACAGAATTAAGCCAGAATTAAGACGAGCTACCACCATGGTCACACTGTCCCCTGACACGTCCCCAGGCGGCCATTTCCTCTAGGGCAAACCCACTCCAGTGAAATGCAAATGAAGAATCCTCTTTGTAACGTTTCTACTAAGGCAAAGTGGGGAAAGAAGAAAGCAAAGCTGTTGGGCCCCTGTGCCAAACCAAATGGTGAAGAAAGCGATCAGCTCAGCACTTTATTCACATACACCCATCAGACCAGCAAATCCAGCAAGCCAGAAGGTGGATGGTAGCAGAGCTGCCTTCCCCTTCTACCTCATAGCAGCCCTGTGAGCACAGCCCTGTGCCACACCTTATTCTGGCTGGCAGGCAGTGGTCTCACCTGAGGCACAGGTAGCTCAGCAGCCTGCACAGCACAGCCCTGCTCAGCAGCCTGGCTCTCAGCTCAGGTGGGCACGTGCTGCTCATGCCAAGGCAGGTATCTCAGGGCTGCACCGTGCCTGGGCATGACCAACTATCCAGAAACCACAGCTCCTTACCCACCCTCCACCAGCTTCCCATTTCCCACCGACAGACACACACACACAGCACTTCAGATGGTGATTTCTTTTATTGATGTAAGGTGGTACACAAACAGATCAGTTTCTATCAGCCTCTCCACCTCCCCCAGGCTCGGGGAGAAGTTGGAGGAGTGGGGGAGACAAGGGAACAGAACTGGCCTCTCACTGCAGGATGCAGAGCTAAGCGGTGGTGAAGAAGGGCAGGGGCTCCAACAAAGGAGAGTCCTGCTTTCCTAGACAGCAGGGGGGCTGTGTGCTCGGCTCACTCCTTGGATGCCATGTGGACCATCAAGTCCACAACACGGTTGCTGTAGCCATACTCGTTATCGTACCTGGGGACAGAAGCAGAAGGGCTTGCCAGGACTGACCCATTCCTGGCATCCCCTTCCTCCACTGCTCCTGCTCCTCTGCCCCATCCCACACAGCCCACATCCCACACTTCCAAGTAAAGCAGGAAACATGCCATACAAATCTGAAATAACTGTAGCCTTCTTCCCTTATAAGTAATCTCACTCCACAGAGCTTTTAAACAAGGGAAGAAGGCTACAGTTATTTCAGATAAGTAATCTCACTCCACAGAGCTTTTAAACATGTTTGAGCCCCTTTACTCAGCAGGGCTCTGTGTATCCCCCAGCACTGCCAACCTGGCAGTGATGAACAGGACCAGAGCCTGTCGCTTGCCTGTGACAACCCCTCCCCACCACTCTCCCAGGCTGTGCTTACCAGGAAACCAGCTTGACAAAGTGGTCATTAAGTGCAATGCCAGCACCTGCATCAAAGGTGGAGGAATGGCTGTCACCGTTGAAGTCACAGGAGACAACCTGAAACAAGAGAGGGAATTTTTAACACCAGGTTACCAACAGCCTTAACCAGAAGGGCCCCAGTCAGGACACCAGCAAGGCTGCTCCTGTTGGGAAAAGGAGGCAAGCACCAAGAGCCACAAGGTGTTACCTACCTGGTCCTCTGTGTATGCCAGGATGCCCTTCAGGGGCCCATCAGCAGCAGCTTTCACTACCCTCTTAATGTCATCGTACTTGGCCTGGGAAGAGAGAGATGCATTTAAGATGGTCAGATGGCAACCCCACACAAAATGTCTGCCGGGGGCGGGGAGAGGTGGCAAAGCCTCTTAGGGAAGGGAGATCAATGCACACAAGGTAACCCCAGGCAAGAGGAGTTGAGAGGAAGCAGGGGCAGGCCTGGAGGTTGTTAGGGCCTTGGTCCACAACACTTACTGGTTTTTCCAGACGGCAGGTCAGGTCCACCACGGAGACATTGGGGGTTGGCACACGGAAAGCCATTCCAGTGAGTTTCCTGTGAGAGGAGAAAGTCAGCCAGGAACCAACTCCCAACACTCCATTCTGCCAGGAAGGGGTCACAGCCAGGCACCTGACACCCGAGGAGGGACAACACTCACCCGTTGAGCTCAGGGATGACTTTTCCCACAGCCTTAGCAGCCCCAGTAGATGCTGGGATAATGTTCTGGGCAGCACCTCTGCCATCCCTCCACAGCTTGCCAGAGGGCCCATCCACTGTCTTCTGTGTGGCTGTGATGGCATGGACAGTGGTCTGCAAGGAAGAGAGCACAGCATCAGTAAGCACACAGCTGGTACTCTCCAGAAAAGGCACCTGGGGGATGCAGGGAGTACCAAAGCCTCTCCTCTCATGTGAGGGGATGCAGGGATAGAGCAGCAAGCTCCAGACCTACCATGAGACCCTCCACGATGCCGAAGTTGTCATGGATGACCTTGGCCAAGGGCGCCAGGCAGTTAGTAGTGCAGGAGGCGTTGCTGGAGAAGAGAGAGAGGAAGGTCTATCAGCCAGGGCAACACATCTACAGAGATGAGACCCCATACAGGTGGGTGAGAGCTCCAGGCCATGAGATCATCTTCCCCTTCCCCTTACCTGACGATTTTCAGAGACTTGTCATACTTCTCATGGTTGACACCCATCACAAACATGGGAGCATCAGCTGAGGGGGCAGAGATGATGACACGCTTCGCACCACCCTTCAGGTGAGCCTGGAACAAAAACAAGATTCCATTAACTCCCTCCAACAAGTCACTTTTCCAGGCAACCTCTTCTCCCTCCAAGCCCCATCCTGAGTTGCTTTGTACACGACAGGCAGGAACAGCAATCTCTCTTCTCCCACATGTGACTGTGCCATACTCACCCCAGCCTTCTCCATGGTGGTGAAGACACCAGTAGACTCCACAACGTACTCAGCACCAGCATCTGCCCACTTGATGTTGCTGGGGTCACGCCTGAGGAGGGACAGAACTGTTGAGAGCAGCTCTGCAAGAAAGCCTGCTGTCATCCCCCAAAAGGGGCAAGAGAAAGACACCTACTCCTGGAAGATGGTGATAGCGTTGCCATTAATCACGAGTTTCCCGTTCTCAGCCTTGACAGTGCCCCGGAAGTGACCATGAGTAGAGTCATATTTGAACATGTAAACCTATTCGTGGAGGGGAAAAAAAAAAATAAATAAAGGAAGGTCGTGGTACCCTGGCTGCCACCTCCTCAGCCCTTGCTCTGCCCACACCACAGCCCCAGCTCCCCATCTCCCCGGTGACCTTGCCCAACCAGCGCCCTGCGGAGCCTCCCAGCCCTGTCTGTGCCTGCACATCCCAGCAGGCTTTCCCAAGAAGCTGCTAGAACAGAGCCAGGAGAGCTCTACTCCGAGAAGCCCCGAGGGGGCACCACGAGGCAACTCACCATGTAGTTCAGATCGATGAAGGGATCGTTGATGGCCACCACTTGGACTTTGCCAGAGAGGATGGCAGCCCGGGTGACCAGGCGGCCGATGCGGCCAAATCTGGGGAGAGAAAGGGAGAGACATGGATGGAGAGGAGCAAAGAGGAACCTGCCAGGCTGGGCACAACCCCCTGCCTTCCCTCGGGAGCATCTGCCCTGCCCAGGGGGGCAGGAGGGAGCCCAGCAGCAGCGTCCAAAGGCCGAGGCACCTCGGTTAAAGATTAAGAGCGACCCTCGCACCGGAAAGGTCAACTACTAAATTTACTGAGGGCTCCGGGGATCCGGTTACTCCTCAGCCCGGCGGGAGAAGGTCACATCCCCCCCACCCCCACCCCCGGGCTTGCGGCTGACACACGATCCACCCCGCAACCTTTCCGGGGG